CAGTCTAACAATCCTCGTATTTTGCAAGTATACGGCGAGTTTCGCTGTGTAAGCATAAAAATTTACTTCGTTTACATTATATCGACGGCATCCAGAGGAAAACTGGATTTCAAAAAATTTGTCATTCGGCTCTCTTTTGTGACATGGCAGATTTGTGAAGTTGAGTGAGGCCTACCGCTAAGCAATAAGCGTGCCTCCCCTTATTTCTAGGCAATACCACATTATTTTCAGTAGATCTTCAGACGATCCCTATTCTGCCGTGCTAAGGAAAAACGCCGTATGAACATTCGAGAGCTGCCAAATTTCCCTCGATTAATCGTGCACCTTTAAGGAAAGTTACTCATATTTTTCCTTGAAATTTTCGGGTATTTTAGATCAAATTGCGAGGAAAATTGTCTGAAAACTTTGGTGCAGAACATTCAGAAAATTTTCAGTAATTTCGGTTTTCATTGCGGAGAATCTGGCAACGCCTGAAGGCTCATACGGCGTTTTTTCTGAGCACGGTAGTATAAGCATTCGAATGTTGCCAAATTTCCTCTCAAGAAATATTCATTCTTGAAGAATGTTATGAATATTTTTCCGTGCAATCTTCAGACTTTTTAGATCAAATTACGAACCAAGTCCTCTGAAATTCGGAAGAGAAAATATACACAAATTTTTCTGAGAATTTGTGACTTTTCGAAGGGAATTTGTGACTTTTCGAAGGAAATTTGGTAACGCCTGATGGCTCATACGGCGTTCTTACTTAGCACTACAGTATTTTACTAGGTCTCGTATTTCTCTGCTCACAGCCATTCGGGCGACTCCGTTTCCCACCAGAAAAGATGGCGCCTCTCAACGGACCCGCGCGGCGCTCACTGGACCGAGTCAACAGGACAAGTCGGACGAAATCTCGAAACTTTGAATGCATATATTTTCAAAAATTTGATAAAAAAAAAGTCTGGGAGCGGTTTCATTAGTTTTTTCGTGAAATTTTCCTTCATAAACACCTGTTGATATTGAATTTGTGACGGAATGAACATCAAAATTTGAAATTTTAGCAAAAAATTACACGTCCGACCTCTTCTACTAGCTTTTTCCACTGTGCACAGAGTTGCGACAGAATTTAGAGAATAAAATTCCCTGACATTTCCCTGACATATTTTGGCGAAATTCTCTGACAATTGAAGGTGTGACGGATGGTTAAGGTGGCATAATTGAAAAAAGTTTTCAGGCAAAATTTATTGTTCGAAACCTCTAATCTATCCGAGAAAGCAAAATGAAGGTGTTTTTAAAAATTTTCCCTGACATTTCCCCGTTTTCCCGGTTTTCCCTGACTGTGCGTCGCGGCGCGTCGATGCATCCGGGGTGAAATGTCGTCCGGACGCTTTTCCGAGCCCGACGCAGCTCCATTTTTCTCAGCGCGACGNGACCTTCCACGTCTCTCCGTTACAAGTTCCGACGTGAAGTGTGAAAAAGCTTTGTCCGAAGTTAAAGCGCTATGAAAACGTCGATAAACGCGACGCGCGCGAAAGGCTCTCGCACGTCGCCGGGCGCGGAAATGAAAAGGCCCGGGAAAAAGAAAAACTCGGAATTAATGATTAGGTCGCGGAGTTGCTTTTCTTCGGTGACCCCCCTCCCTCCCTCCCTCCTCCCCCGGGAAGAAGGAAGTCACTGCGTGCTTGAGTGAGCTGTGACGTGTGTAAGGGAACGTGCTGAGCGTGGACCATGTTCGAGTGGAGTTTTGCGTAGGACGGCGTGTCCGACCCGGAAAGAGCTGAGAGCCTGGACGGGAAACCTGGACGGGAAGATTGACTCCCGTTGACTTGGCTCCCGGATATTTTTACACGCCTCCTTCCTCTCCCTCCCCCGGGCGATTTTTCTTACCGGTTCTTGTTCTCTCCAGCCGCTCTTCTTGACCTCATCCATCCGCCTCCTTATACTTGAACTGTATTTCTCAATTGGGAATTACAATTCTCAGCTCATCCGAAAAAACACTCAGGGAAACTGATGGTGTATATGTCGAAGCCAAATAGTCAAATCAGGCATTTTATCAAACGCCTAGGTCGATAGTCAAATTTTGACAGTTTATGAAATTCTGTAAATTTATGGGGAGGAGTTCACGGGTTTTCAATATTTTGGGAAGAATAACTCCTCAAATTCGCGAACTCTCCTTGTTCCTTCCTTTTTACATGCCTTTAGCACATTTTAATGTTAAATTTTTAAGAATTCTTTTTTTTATGTGGTGCTGAAAATTTCATGCGGTGTGTGCATTCAGGATCTTAAAATCGTTTAAAATACTATTGTATGCTGCATATTTTTACAGAGAATTCTTTCTTTTTTTCTTTCAAATTCAATTCTTTCAACTACTTTGCCTAAAATTAGGGTAAAAAATCAAAATTTCAATCTAGTTGAGAATATTTGACTATTTGCCTAGGCATCAGACAAAATGCCTGATTTAACTATTTGCCTTTGGTGGTATGTACAGGTTTTTTTTTTTTTTTTTTTTTTTTTTTTTTTTTTTTTTTTTTTTGCCTAAAGGTTTGAATTATAAAGACAAGATTTAAAAAATTTGAATTTAAATCATTACAATTAGATCACATTTTGCAATAAGGAACCACTATCCCTGACACTTCCATAAAATCACCTTTCTGCACAGGGGAACCAATGGCGTCCAACCAATGTTGTTTCTAAAATGAGCCAGAACTATTAGTTCCTTATTGCAAAATGTAATCCAATCATAGAAATTATTTGGCGAAAGGCCCATATAAATAATGTTAAAAAAAATCACCATCAATATGGAGAACTTTCTTTTTCGACGAAGTAGAGAAGTTCGAGCGTAGAAAAATCACGGGTATATTGCACAGAGCATAGTTCACCCACAAGCAGTGGCATGAATTCTCATTGTTATAAGCAACACTTTCATTTTTCAACATACTTAGAAGTATGCTGCCAGGCTAAGGAAGAACGCCGTATGAACATTCGGGAGTTACCAAATTTCCTTCGATAGAATATTAATTTTTGGGAAAAGGTATGAATATTTTTCCTTGAAATTTTCATGAACCTTAGGTGAAATTGCGAACAATACTATATGAAAAACTGGAAGGAAAGTATTCATAAGTTTACCAGGAAATGTGTGTTTTATGGAAAGAAATTTGACAACGCCTGAAGGTTCATACGGCGTTTTCCCTTGGCATGGCAGTATGCACGCAACTCACGGCTCACTCCAGGCCAGATTCGAAGCGTGGAAATTTTGAAAGACGAAGGTCTACACTATTTGTTTCTTTTTTACACCGTCGAAGAAACAAAATAAAGAACGAATAGGGAGAAGAAAAGTCCTTAGCGAACTTGGTTCTGGCTCCATTTAACCTCTCGTTAATGATGGATTTTGAATGCATTCTATCAAATAAAACACTAGAGAGTCTCTCTATCCGTCTTTCCTCTACCATACTCCCCCCCTTCTTTCCTCTTCTCGGATAAATGAGCATCTAGGAAGAGTATATACGCGTATATGTAACTATTAGGTACATGACTTTTAAAGTTATTTGCGTGAAGGTAGCCGTATCAAAGTTCCCCTCGAGACTGAATGCGCCCGACGGCGAATTTCAGTATTAATGATTCTCCATTCATCAATTTTCTTTCACTCGTTTGTTTTCCTTGTTTTAAAAGTTTGAATAGGCAGCAATTACGGATCGAAGTCTGTATCTTAGAGGCCCCTCCATCATTATAATTGCGTCGGCCCCGGCCCACGTCGCACAGTCGAGCAAGCCCTTGTAAGAGGCCAGACACGGAATTTTTTTACTAAAACTTGAAATTTTTATGTTTATTTAGTCTAATTTTGAATTTTAATGTGTGCTTCTTGGAGAAAATGTTATGTGAAAATTAATAGAACTGCGTTTAAACTGCTGCGTTGGTGTTAATGAAGACAAACTTAAGCTTCTTCAGTTTTTCAAATCATGCCGGGCCTGTCCCCATTGACTTGGTGCGCTGCGTGCTGAATATTGGAATTGATAGACAAAGCTATAGACAAAGGAGTACTCGCGGACGCGAGAGAATTCAAGCGTCAAAAAAGGTAAATGAAAGATTAACTAATGCGGCAACCCATGAGAAACCCCGTGGTTGGTCCATCATTTTCCTCCTTAGTCTATTACAATCACAGGTTTAACCGATAAGATCGCTCCATTTACTCTTCGTCCACTTTGACTATAGCATTGTCTAACGATGTCAACAGTCAGCACGCCGAGATCGAAGTTCGTTTTTTGTATGTTCCATGGAATGTATGCGGATACATCTCTCTCGTTTACCACGGCGCGGTGCTGATCGTGAAGGCACCTGCATGCAACTATTCGAACTCCAAGGCTGTGCTCGTTGCAGACCCACAAAATTGAAGGAGCGTCAATTTTTCTACGTTCACTGTTACGCTCCGCCAGTTGTTACAGGCAACTAATTCGCTCTGTTTCATCGTTCTCTTGGTCTATCACTTTGTTCATAAATCTTAATAATGAGCCCTTTGTGCGTCGGTCCGGTAGAAAGGCTGCGATTTGAGATTTGCGAAGGCGAAGCTCAAAGGCGTGATCTTTGCTTGGAATCTTTGGGTAGTTCGGCGAAAGCATGAGTTGAACGCTTTCCCAGGAATCAGAAGCGGAGCCTTTCTGCGATCGCCTCCGAGCTCAGAGCAAGGAGCTCCCCGAAATCTTCATCGACTAATTAGAAACTTCTGATGAAAAAACCTCTCTGTTTATTTCCTTATCTGAGTGTGCCAGACTTGGCTTAATCCTCTGAAATTGAGCTCCAATTATAATCTCACATCGTATCCTGCCAATCAATGAAGAAAATACCACCAGATGGGTTGGGAATTAAACTTCCTCAAGACATAGTTCCTCATCAAAATTTTACAAAAAAACACGTCGAAACATAGAAAACTTCTATTCAGTGGTAGGTAAACAATTGAGAATGGAATTGAGTGATACGATTGAAGAATCTACTCGTCAGATCAGGAAGTCGGAAAAAAAACATACCAATGCAGGTTTAATAAAAAAGGGGTTTTAATTTCTTATTTAATACTATGGCATTCACATATTTAACAATTTTTTACAAACTTGGTAAACATAACTTTTATGTACATAATTAAATATTTATATTATAAAAAAGAAAAAACTTTGGTTTATGTACAGCCGCAGAGGTCACTTTTCAAGTGCCTGGTTTGACGAATCGAGAGTTGTACAGTTGCTCCTTTGTTCATCTGAAAAAAGAAGGAAAAAACAGGAATGAGATTTCATCAACGAATATTTTATCTGTCCGAAAATAAGGTGAGTAAGATAAAAGGATTTCCTGATGATCCACTATTTTCCAGGTTGGTAAAATTTTAAAACTCAGAAAATATCGTATTAACCAGAAATTATGTGAAAATTGGTTCGTCTATGCGACGCTCCTACAATATTTTTCATCCAAACACACATGCCGGTTGGTTAAAAAGATGTCCCCAATTAAAGGGCGAGAAATCAACAATTTTGCATGGGGCATCGCAAGAAAATAGTACTAAGACAGCATCAGAACACATCAAATGCTCACAATTTGCATTATTTTACTGCCTTTGTAGTTAACTGAACTCCTGCAGCTTCAGTCAGGAAATTATTCCAGGGGGTGCAAAATAATATTTTATTGATGACGTTAACAAAAAATATTGTACTAGAAATTGTACGAGTATGTTTTATGTATAGTGAAGAAGAAATGGACGGAATGTTCTCAGATGTTATATAACTTGGTTTTTTTTGTAAAAAAAAGAATAAAATACGGGAGAAAATTTATAGGCAACAAGAAATACAATTGAGCTGTTTTTGGTTAAAATTGCTCATACCAATCTTATCCTGTGGAACTGGTACCCACTTACCCAGTGCATGTGATGAGGGTTACAACACGAGATTTCTCATGTCCTTATATCCTGGCTCGGAGCTTTTTTGTGCATAAAAGTATATTTTAGAATTGAACATTAGTACCATCATGTTTCTTGCATAATTCCATACATAGGACCGGGATTTCGATCGCTCGACATCGAGCCAGCGAAATCCTCCTTGCATATTGGTGTTTCACATTCAACGAGCGCTTGTAACTCACAAGTGTATCTAGACCTTAAGTCAGTCTAATGGGCCTGTTGCAAACTTTTGCTAGAGCAGAGATATGAGTTATTTTTATCAGTAAATGTCTCAAAAATCACGATGAACGCATTGGCAAAGTTGCAAATGCACTCCTAACTTCACAATCTGCTTAAGAAATTTGCGTTCTTTTGAGCTTCCCGCAATAAAAACGACATTACGGCACAAGTGAATATTTCGTTTGACATGTTCTATCCAGCCCCTATGCACTAGGATACTACACAATATTCAACATGACCGATGCCAATCCGCCAAAACATTTGTGCCTGGACGAGATTCTAACCATTTGTTAACAATCCAGCGTGGTTACATTCACGATTTCTTCGCGTTGATAAAGATCCGCTTTGGATGACGTGCTCCCGATTTGTGTGCGGAAGCGTTGGCTATGTTGGGTACTGTAATTGCAAAAGTGTTGCATGGAACGACTCCTCTAACGAAATGTTCACCTGTGCCGTGGTATCGTTTTAGAAGCGGCAAGCTCGAAAAAACGCAAATTTCTTACGCATATTATGAAGTAAGGAGTGCATTTCAGACTTTACTCATCGTAATTTTTGAGACACTCTCTACGAGTAACAACTCTTATTTTTGCACTGGCAAAAGTTTGCAACAGGCCCATTCTTGACTGCCCCCGAGGAGAATTTTTCCTCGGCCGTGGTGGGATAAGGAATGTTGGGTTTGATCAATGATTGCCGAAGGGGTCTGTTTTTCGGGTGATGACGGCGCGAAATTGAAATTGGACTTACTCAATTTCAGCAAGGAGCAGGAGCGGCCTCCCGCAAGAGCAGCGCCACGAGGAAGCCCACGATGAGATACCTCACGTGCAGCATCTCTTTATGTGTCCCTGAAACATAGGAAAACAAATTTGATTAATGAACAACACATTTTTCGCAATTTAATACGACTTATCTGAATTCTCAGGGTGAAACCTGTAGTAAATTCAGTCTACAGCATAGTGCCAAGAATTCTTAACCACGTTCATTTCTTGATTTTCAGCATCTCATTCCCTGACGAGTGAGTTTCCCGATGAAAGTTTTCTCCCACTAAGATATTAGGTTCTCCTTGCTTACATGATTGATACACCAAACATTTTGATGGGTGGTCAGCCAGTGGCAGAATATGATTTTGTGCGGCAACAATAATCGAAAAAATTCCCACACAATCATGTACTTTGTGCGGAAAAGATAGTCAGCCAGTGGCAGAATATCTTTTCCGCACAAAGTACATGATTGTGTGGGAATTTTTCCGATTATCGTTGCCGCACAAAATCATTTTCGCACAAATCAGATCTCAAAAATCTGGCAACATCGCACAGCAGCTGAGCAGGACAACCATACTCCCGAACATACTACAGAAAATTATTTGTGCGAAAATGATTTTGTGCGGGGACGATAATCGGAAAAATTCCCACACAATCATATACTTTGTGCGGAAAAGATAGTCAGCCGGGTCAGTTTACCATCTTTGAAGGCCTTTCGCAGCAACGTTGTGCTGGACGTCGAGACAGGACGGCGCGGTCGTCCACCACTGTTGCTGCGAATTACCATCTTTGTTGTCAACGCCTACCTTATTGCGGTTTGAGGTTTTTAACCATTTTGCAATTGTACTCGTGTCAAAATTGTTCACAGGGGTCGAATTTGAGAATCCAAGATTGTAAATCTCACCTACTATCTGGTTATAAGCACCAAAGATTTTTTTCCGTGTGCCCAGGGATTTTCTTACGAAAAACTATGTACTTAACGCTTCAAAGTTCCAAATATGAGCGACGATTTTTTTTTTTTTTCAGCTATTCCTTCGGAGCACAGTCTGATTTTCAATTCCACAAGCGTTTCTGGCGCTTAAATCATCTAATCCAGGTCAATGGAAGCTTTTCTAAAATTCTGATGACTTTAAGATTCAAATATGTATTTTTAGCGATAGAAAAATAAGAGATTCTCGGTTTCTACAACAGATACCCTGACTTTTCCCCGATAAATCCTAGTCTTCTTACACAGCACATCGTGTAACAGCAATACAACACAGCAATATAATCGTGCTCTTAGGCATATTTTGCCGCCACCGGCGCGGCTCGCAGCGCAGCGCTTTACGCGTAGTTCAGAGGCAAGAAAAGTCAGGACGCCTTCAAATTTTTTGTACGCAACACGCACATCCATGAAGCACAAATAGTTGTATTCAGTCGCTGTAACGTACTTTCACCCTTTCCGCGCATCCATCGGCTGTACATATAGTTAAAAGAATCGGCATCTAACTGCGAAGATCAAGTCGATGGTGAATGGAAAATTACCAAACCACTTATCTCAATTTGCACCGTTGTCATATTTTACTTTCCAAAGCGGGCCTGAATATCAGTTTTGCTCCAACTTTCATCGTTTTTTTTTTTTTTTTTTTTTTTTTTTTTTTTTTTTTTTTCCAAATGTTTCTTAAAAAATTCGCGCTAAAAAGTCGAGCAGTATTTAAAAAAAAATGAAAAACGAGTTAAAATTTACAAGATTGCGTTAAGGTTCCGTGGTTTGGTATTTTCACCACCGCTGTGGTGATTTGGCACCCGCGGCAATCGCCCTCAGAAAAATCTTACAAGAATTTCTGAAAAGAACTTCTTACAAGAATATGACTGAGTAGTTTATATCCAAAATTTTGCTGATTTCCGCGTGTTATCAAGAAAAATTATGAAATTTTCAGTAATTGGATACTCGAACAGCTTCTTCGCAAAAATACAGTCTGCCAGTGGAAATTTCGCAAAGTTGAAATGGTGTTATGTCTATTTGGACCGCGTTTAGCAGAGAGGAACCAAGCCACATCAACCATTGCCAAATTTAACTGCGCAATTCAATTTTTAACGAGAGAACGTTTGTGAGGATTCCTCGGAAAATTTTAAGGGAATTCGCTTCGTACTATGCAGAAAGTTCACTGATATTCGCGCAAAAATCCGCATAACCGTTTTCATGAAACAAATTAAATTACCCAATTGAATTTGGTGATGGCTGATGTGGTTTGGTTCCTTTCTACTTAACGCGGTCCGATATCTATAAAGCGACTTTATATGCTCCGGGCTTAGGAGTTTATTTCACTTTTGCTCGGGCCCTACTTTCCCGACGGAAAGTCATTCTGCGGTTTCTCTCGGATTTTCAGGGGTGCACGGTAGCCACCGAAACTCGCATCAGAGGCGGACGTGTTTCTATCAAACGGAACTAAGTGCATGATGACGTGAGCCCTGTTATGCACATATTCTTATGGGTCTCGGGGCTCATGCCTTAATGCACATAGTTCTGTTTGAGAGAAATATGTCCAGGTGATCTCTAATTCAGACCTCAAAAAGGAACTGCTTCAAGTAAACAAGGAACTTGGGCGGCGGAAAATGGCTGGGCAACACGTGAATTCGCACCATTGTGTCGAGTTATATGCATACAAATGTAACGTAACGCTCTGCGTTTGCCGCTCGCTTCATGACGTATTAAATTGAGAACTGTGGGAGATGAAGCCCTTCATAAGTCAAGGTTGCCGGATGGCGTGAAAGCCCAGGATATTTCGAATTGCTTTAAATGGGGAATTGTGCTGAATTTGCGGCACAATCTGGTGGCGATGTCATAAGTTCAACGCTTTCCGCGATAACCACCCGTCGCTGCCGGACGGAGCTCCAAGGGTGTTTTATACTGCCCTGCTAAGGAAGAACGCCGAATGAACATTCGGGTGTTGCCAAATTTTCCCGGGTAAAATATTAATTTTCAAGGGAAGATATGAACATTTACCGTGGAAAATTTCTGGTACTTTAGGTTGGATTGCGTATAAAATTCCGTTGAAATTTGGAAGAAAAAATTCACAAATTTTCCTGTTAATTTGTATTTTATCGCAGGAAATTTTGGCAACGCCTGAAGGTTCATACGGCGTTCTCCTGTGGCACAGCAGTGTAATGCAAAATGTGGAACACTGTAGGTATCCTAGTTCGTAGCTCGTAGTTGCTCTTGAGTGCAACACGAATGTGACGCGATGAAACACAAAACAAAAAGGGGATTTCAGCGCTACTCACTTATTAGTTCGGCAAATTGCCCATGTTGTGTTGCCATTTGACCAGTATTTGAGGGGGGAAAAGCTATATTTCTTGTAAAAATCTGATAAAGGCCAACTTTACGTCATTACCTAGCACAAAGATGAACGAAACGGCTCGGAACTGGTTTGTAAGGACACCAGAGTTTTTCTTCAAAATATGGAAATCTGATTCGTTTATCTTCTACCTATTCGACGAAAATCGCTCTGCTAAAAATTTTCTCCGTGCTTAAGGGACCTTCTTTCTCTCTAGATACTCACATTTGGTCAAGCCCAAACGGAGGCACGTAACTTCCGTACCAAACTTGCAAAATTGATTTCAGAATATAATTTTTTTACGAAATTAGAGCTGTGAAATTTCTGGGCAAATGTTGTTTTGCGTAGAACCACACACAAGAAGAATCAATAGAATTTTTAATTACATACTCCAAACAGTCTTCTTTACAATACAGATTCAATTTGCAAATAGATATTTCCCAAAGGTGCTATGAACATGTTCATTCGTCTTGAAAATGCCAATTTTTTGCTGTAAAAAATAAGAGATTTTTCACAGCAGTTCGTGGAAAAATCAACCGTTTCATCTTTCGATTAATTCTTTAGGTTAAAATCGACACAGACCACCAATTTTAATAGTTTGATATCGAAGAAAAAGAAAGGGAAGCTGTTCCCGATTTCTAACACCCATTCCCTTACAAATTCTCTGATTTCTCGGGGTATGTTTCATTTCCTGACTTTTCCAGATATTTTTCATTCCTGGATATTTTCCCCTGATTATTCTAGATTTTTCATTCCCTTATTTTTCCGGCTATTTTTCCTTCCGGATATTTTTGAAATTTGATTTTTGTGGATATGGTTCGTTCCCTGGTTTTTCGGATGTTTTCATTCCCCACAAACCCCGGAATTTTTTGATTTCTTTCAGGTTCAACACACCATGATCGAAACTCGGAGGAAACTTTGACAACACCGCGGGTGAGCTCTGGAAAGCAGTATTTAAAATGTTGCCCACCCTTGTTTTCTTTCCTCCCCCCCCCTCGCTCCCACCTCGACCCCATCCTCCGTGTTTTCCTTCTTTTATTCGTGACCTCCGGCCCTCGGGCTCGAGTCAGACCTCAAATTAAGGTATTAATTTATAATTTCGACTGTTACTCTCCTAATTAAAAACAAGGGAGCGCACCGCAAAGGGAGCCGAGCTCGGATTCAAAAAATATCAAGGATTCCGCTCCTAAATTATTCACACAGACTACGTTTCGGGACGTAAAAGGATCCTCGGGAAATAAAAAGGTTGAGAAAATCCCCGGCTGGAAGGAAAGGGTTGAAATGAAAGCACTCCTGGAAAACAACCTCGAATTACACGCTGGAAAAGAGCTCGTGACTGGAAATTTAGAGACAGTTTTTGATGGGCCACATTGGGGCTCATTAAACGAGAATTACTCCATGTTTCGTGTATTTTTATCGTTTTTCCAATTTTTGATGCTCATTTTATTTTTTCGATTTTTTGTCTTCTTGCGGGGGCTTAGAATGAAAGCATTTATGAAAATAAAAACAACCTCAAATTATACGCTGGAAAAATCCTGTTGATTGAAAATGCAGAGACAGTTTTTGACGGGTAATGTCTGGGTTCGTTAAGACTGAGTTATACTTTTCGAATTTGTCTCCATTAGATAGTCACTTTTGACACTCAGAACGGTGATAAAGGCGATAATTTTTTAAACAAAAATTTTATGGTATCTTATTGCATATTCCTTTTTTGAAGAGATTTACGTCAGCTTATGAATTGGACTACACTATAGAATGTGCACTTATGTGCATATGGGAGGTAATGGTTTGTACGCTGTTTCTAAACTAAACCAAAATTTGCAGTTTCTAATTGCAAAATGTAGTCCAACTGATTATTCATGATAGCTGATACCATCAAAAAAGAGTCACCGTCTCATGCCATTCTAAGGAGAAAATAATGTATTTCAACCGGTTGTTGTACTGATTCATGCATTTTGCAAATTCTCCTATCTACGATTATGACCTAATCAGAAATACTTTTCAGAAATACCTACCCAAAGATTCCATCAAATGTTTCTCGAAAAAAGGACTGAATATAAAGTTCCTGTAATTTTGACGGGGATCCCATTAAAACTATTCATGTCATCATTTCAAACCCGCAACAATTTATAAAAATACAACTAACTTATTTACAAACACCTTTATGAAAATGTAAATTTGTGAATCAAGGGGTAAAAAATGAAAATAAAAGCACTCGTGAAAAATTAACCGAAATACGACTAATCGATCAAAAGGACACTTTTTTGAAAGAGCTCATTTTGAATTTCGGGGAGGGAGGAGGGAGGGCTCGCATAAAATTAACAAAGACAACCCATCGCGGACACTCCTACTGAAGTGTCCATTTGCGAATCCTGGAGGGGAGGGGCCGGTTCGCGAAAAAAAATCACGGAAGCGGAGAGAGAGGGGGGAGAGAGGGAGAGAGAAAAGGATGAGCCTTGAGACACATAGAGGCGTGGGCTCAATTGCGTGAAGTGCTTTGCGCTACATCGATTGATCTGCCATTTAAACCTACAGAAAAGGATCGATGAACAGGATATTCGCAACGGACGCCCTAATAATCGATTCTTCACCGCAGCTTCCAATGGGTAAATCTCGATAATAATCGATCATTCACGCTTAGTAACTGCAAGAGCTAACCGCGGCTCATAGAGAAATGGACTTACAGCCCTCTTGCGCAACACGACAGAATCGGCGAGAACGAGCGTGACTGGCGGACAATAGCCAGCACTGTGATTGCGCGTTAGTACGAAGGGCGCATCTCTATTTCCACATACACCCCGGAAAGCATGGAGTATACGCAGCACAGGGGTCACGTGGAAATTGAGACACGTTGGAGGGCCGACGTTATAACGTCCGTGTCCGGCGTGAAGCGGACACTCGAACGCTCGGCCATTCCGGACGGAAACAGGCAAGCTGACGTGGAATCGCAATCGCAATCGCGGCAAGTGCCAACGAGGGCAGAGGAATGCAATCAAGAGATGGAACGACAGCGGCCCGCGCCGTGCCGTCGAGGAAACTGTAAACACCCTGCGCGGCGCGAGCCCCCCGCAGCCCGCACACCTCACGTGCCGTGCAGGCTGCATCCGCCCGCGCGGAGGCGTCGAGCTCCAGCCGAGTTGATTTGTTTGGAATTTGTGTCATTTGATACATTAAACGCTCGAGTTTCGAGTGTGAGCACTGCACACTGCACTGTGCACTGCGCTCGCGGACGCGCGCGGTGCATGCTCCCGATGACTTTACTCTCTTCTCCGTCGAGCAGCATTGTTGCGATCTTTCAGATTTGGAAAATTAGATTCTTTGGGAATTTGTACAGGCAGTTCACGGAAAATGCTACCCCACTAAAGGAGAACGCCGTATGCAGAAATTTGGCAACATTGAAAGGAAGTTACATTTATTCGTGTGGGAAATGACGAATTTATCGTTTCTCACAAGAAAGAGTATAATTGCGCATCAACATGGCACAATTTCCAATCAAGAATTGCATTTTTATAAGACCTAATGGGGATTCCTTGCAAAAAGTTTATTCGATTGTCGCTCTAATTAAATTCAAAGTTTTTCAAAAAATTGCTTAGCCAATCGCTAAGGTGTGGATATGCCCACTATGCTGGTGCATACCTTCGAAGTCGTAGGCGCTATTGATCTCCGCGTCCGAGTCAATTTTGTAATCCTAAGGTGGATTTACGTCCCTTCGTCTGAGAAATAACGTATTCTATGATTTTTCACAAAATTCCCAATTGGCCAAACACAAATGAATAAACTAGATGGTCCTAAAATTAATTCCATGATCAAAAATGTTTTCGCGAATTCCGGGGTTTCCTGACGCCAATCAAATCTATGATGATGTCCTGCTTTTTACGTGGATTGGCTCCTTCATTTTCTGGAAAATAAAAAAAATTAATGCGCACATAAATTTCTCTTTTGGGAGATTGAGCGACAGAGGCACCGCCTATCTCTAGGGCTATTAGGGTCCACGCGGCGCAAATTTTTTTTGCGATTCCCGATTTGCCCGTTTATTAGACACCCTGATATTTCTCTAAAGGGTAGAAAATTTGGTGAAAATTAGAATTTATGTTTTAAGACAGCCAGCGACGGAAGGACTCAACGCTGAGTCCACGCGGCGCAGCGCGGAAACAATTTGCTCGGATGCCATCTGCGCTGCAATTGATTCCGACTCGCACTCCAATCGATGGAACGCCGCGCTGCAACGAAAAAACTTCCTGAAATCCGCCAAATTCCCCGTAGGAATCAACACGGAGTAGCCGAATTCCACAGGAGCAACGGCAACTCGGCGAAAGCCAAAACGGGAGCCGGACCGAGTGCTCCAATCGCTTAACAATATTCCGAAACGTCGCACAAATGGAGGAGCCAACCGCACCACCCCCGCCTCCTCCAACTCGTTAGAAGCTTCGCCTGATTGTCGCCCACACTCGAAGTGATGACGTCAACTACTCCAGGAATTCCGGCGAAATTCTCGCCGGAGGAATCGAAAAAAAGAAGGAGAGAAAAGGACAATGCGTTTAATCCTTTCTGCAATCTCGTCACTTTCAGAACCGTTTATGCTAGTAATGTTACGCTGCGACTGTTCACGGAAAAAGTGACCTTCGTCAATACTTTTAATGTTGAGACTTTCGATATAGATAGGTGAAATAATAGAATTTTCAGATTCCAACGGAAAACTCTCATAGGTGTACAAAGAAAATGAGATGAAGGGGTTCAGGTTCAATTTTGCACCAAAAGAAGGCATTAAGTTTGATTATGCCCCGGCAAAAAGGGAAACAAGGAGCAATCTTAATTAACCCGGCACGTGTTTCCTATTCAAAATTATAGGGTACACACAAAAAATAGTCTGTGCTGATGAAAGAACCTTACAATCACAGGGCTCCTACTTTTTTTTCGTTATACTTACAGAACTTTTCTGTTGTAAAAACAAAACTGTGGACGTGAGCACAGATCACTTTGTCCTCTTAACGGAAACTCCTGTAGCTGTAACAAAGCAAACGCAGGAGACCTGTGAATGGAACTATTTTTTTTCAAAGTAGGTAATTTTGGAACCAACTACTGGAGAGGATATACTTCGGTATTCATAAATAGCAACTTTATCTAGCAAACTTATTAGCAGGCTACTTTAATTTTTAGCGTCGCCAAAGTTAAGGGCGTTTGATACGAACATCTTAGAGTCAAGAAATGAATAAGTGCGAAATTATGCCAGTGTGACGGGACTGTAGATGACGGTGATGTGGTTTTGTCAACTGCAGCGCCTTGAATACAACTATTCGTGCTTTTTGGATGTCCACGTTGCATATCTACAAAGTTGAAGGCGCTTTTGATCTCCGTGTTCAGGAAGAATGTCGCCCTCATGTGGACGCGGTCATACGGGTGGTCTCACGACAACTGGAATAGTTTTGTTGCCGTAACAGACAACACATTTTTCGGTCGTATTTTCAGTAGTAATGATAATTACTTGAATTTGTTTGCATTGATCTACACAGGGTTACGTGTTATAACGCTTTTCAAAGATTTATCGCTCTACTTTTCAATTTTGATATGTAAGTAGCCGGAAAGGTGCTGCCTATAACGCTGACTTTTTGCCGCGTAATAGACAGTATTTACATAAAATTAATTGAAAGGTAGAGCAATAAATCATTAGAAAGCGTTATAATACGTAACCCTTTGAAGATTAATGCAAAAAAAATTTGAGTGATTATCATTTCTGCTAAAAATATGACCGAGAAATGTGTTGTCTGTTACGGCGACAAAACTATTCCAGTTATTGTGAAACCATTCATATGGTATTATTTTACCCCTGGCTGACAGACTCACATTTCAAGACTCATACCATTCCGAGGGCGAAACAACCGCACCACATATATCGATTTGCGAGATTGCAGACTTTCTGTCATGCTTCAGCCCTTAAATGTAAAACTACTCAATTTCAATTCTTAAAACTTCTGAGATTTTTTTTTTCTCCATGCAAAGAAAACTCCGTGAAAACTTCAGGGAACGATATTGATTTTAATATTGAGCCCGTCAAACTAAGATTGAATCAAAACACTCACACATCCATGTATCGCACACCCTCACAGACCAAGAACAAGAATAATGGACAAAACAAAAGCAGATGTAATTTTGAGAACTCACCACTTGAACTTGATAAACTCTCCATGCTCCCTGAAACAAAAGAACAGAGTGAAAAATTAGCCGAGCCGCTGTGCAGAGCAGAACACACGGTGAATTTACTTGCACCCCGTCGAGGGGTCGAGCGCAGAGGGGTGACTCATAGAGTACTCCCGTGCTAAAGAGAAACGCCGTATGAACATTCGAGAGTTGCCAAATTGCCTTCGATAATCGTTTATTTTTGAGAAAAAATATGAATATTCTTCCTTTAAATTTTCAGAACCAATCTTCAGGTGAGATCGCGAACAAAATTATCAGAAAAATTGGGAGGAAAATATGCATAAGTTTACCAGGAGATTCGCGTTATATTAAAGGAAATTTGGCAACGCCTGAAGGTTCATACGGCGTTCTTCCTTAGCGCGGCGGAGTACTCCACTCGAAGGGTGAAAAAAAAAAAAACGAAAAAAAGGAAAAGGTTAATGAGAGAAGTAAAGTAACCAGTTTAGCGAGGGAGTCGGCACTCGGTTGATGCTCGCCACAGGGACAGGGGCGTCGGGACGTCATCTCGCCGCGACGCCGGGTAATTTGTCACACGGTTATTGTCCCTATGCGCCGGGGGCTCGGCCATGCTCAGCAAGAAGCATGTATCTCCGATTGAAGGCGCTGTGTTGATGCGAGGTTCTAGTTCCGATGCGCCGCGAGCTCTGCGGAGAAGCCTCCGGACGCGGACGGCCTGCTCCGGACAGCGCTGAGAGTTGCGTGCGCTAATATCTACGGATGCAAGATTGATCACTCCATGCTTCACGCGCGGCCAGCAGTTCCGTTTTTTTCCTACTGTCGCGTCGCACTCTCCACGTTTTGGATTTACCTTTGTTTCACTCGTGGTGAGGGATGAACGAGAGGGTGAGAGTGAGGATTTCCGGATTGGTGTGTCGTTTGTTTGCGATGTGACCAGAGTTGGTGCCCTCGCTTGGACCGTTCGAAGATAAGTCGCTTGCACACGAGATATTCAGATTAATGAATTGACTTCTTGAATGGACGTAGTTCTGCCAAACGTAACCATGAGCATTAAGTCATGAGCTCTAAGACCCATATGAATGTTTGCACTGCAGGGCTCACGTCATAACACACTTAGTTCCGTTTGGCAGAAATACGTCCAAATGGAACGCGTCCAGCAGAAAGGAACAAAGCTACATCGGAAATCGCAAAATTTAACGACCAATTCAATTTTTTACGAGAGAACGTTTGAGCGAATTTATTCGAAAATTTTAAGGAATTTGCTTCTTACTATAGGGTAAATTCACTGAGATTCGCACAAAAATCCACGCAACCATTTTCATGTACAAAATTGAATTGCCCACATAATTGCACTAATTGTGTCCGTACCAAAAGAGAATGTCCGAAGTTACAGCAACAGCATTAAAGTGTTAAGTGTAGCAGGGCATGAATCTTAATATAATTTACTATTATTATGTGGTAAAAAAAATTCAGGATCAGGAAGACACGATTCCACTGTTCCCTATAGAAAATCTGCGCTCGAATATTAAAATAAAATTTTAAAATTTTCAGGTCTAATCACACCGATCTCAATCTGTTTTTAAAGTTTGACTCGAAACATTTATCTAGCCAAAGAAAATGCATTGTTTTTGCGGCTCAGAGTGACTTTTTGCTCTTTCGATCATACGCATATCAATAATGGACTTCGATTTGAATATATGAACCACATTTTGCAATAAGGAACCACTATTTCTGGCTCATTTTAGAAACATCATCTTTGCCATTGCTTATCCTCCGCAGAAAGGTGCTTTTACGGAGGAGCCAGAGATAGTGGTCCCTTATTGCAAAATGCAATTCATACATCAATCGAAAAACGAGAAACAATAACTTTCTCTTTTACACCGGGATCCACAGTCGAAATCGGGAGCACACCCCCAGCATTGACGACATCAAGAAGGCGCGTGAGATTGCACCGAAGGGGGTGGGGGATGGGAAAAGCGTAGGCGGATCTTTGACTCTACGTGCGTCACGGAGGCACGGGGTACGACGCGGGGTCGGCGAGTTCAAAGGAGGCGCTTACTTTGAAAAAGTCACGGTAATGAGACAAGACAATGGGATGTTCTCCCCATTGAGCCTCTTACGCCCCAACCCCATCCGCGCTTTCGTCCCCGTTTTTTTTTCGATGGCGAAAACACCCGAGTCCCGAGTCGCGATCCCCCGCTCTGTGCGGAACAATACGCGCAGCGTGGCGCCCGGACCCCCGGCCCCGATCCCGATCGGCCCCCGTCGCCGCACAGTGGATCGAGCCGATAGGAGAAGTCGGACAAAATTCGGACTTTTTAAAAGCTCATTACTCAATTATTACAAAACGTATAGATGTTTTAAACGCGGTACCGTTGGTTTTCTCGTAAAATTTACTTGAGGAAGCACTCCTCAAACTTTGAAATTTCACATGATAAACATCTAACTATGCAATTCTGGTTACAAATAAATTCATGTCCGACCTCTTTCATTGACTCGATCCACTGTGCGGCATCGGAACGCCGGCTCGTGTCCCATTGTTGCCGGGTTGAAAAGTTTGCGACGAATGTCGATCGAGCGCATTATCAGAATCAAGTTCATCGATTCATGAAGAGTGGGAATTCAAAACCTGGCAAGCACCGTCAGATGTTGCCAAAACCCTGCAACTTTTCTTCTCATTTGACAGGTATTAGGCGGCGCGTGAATAACTACGTATGCACAGACAATATTTTTTAGACACCCTGAGCAAAGTTTTGGTTTACTGTTTCTTGTATCTTCTCTGTAGTGCAAACGCTAATTCCGAACGTCAACGCTCAGATTCGCTAAATGATGGGCACTGACCAAAGATATAAGCAATCGGTGTGGCAATCCAAATCTAATGGGTCAGTTGCGCTGTTCACAGAATCGTGTCTTGATGATTGATTCTCGTATGTCAGCTAAAAATAATAAAATCTGTCTAAACAGCACCTCTCTACGTTCAATATTATAAGCCGAGATATTTCCCTTTGAAAAGTCGGGTTTTTGACGTCATCCATCGCGGTAGAGTCACCCTTGGTTTCTTCCACCTTGCTTCCATCCGATTCTTAACATTTCACGTTGAACAACCAGTGCAAATGTGTGTCACACCGACTGATGAAAGCGAGGTGGAAGAAACCAAGGGTGTCTCTACCAGGGTGGATGACGGCAAAAACTCGACTTTTCAAGGGGCGATATCTCTCTATTTGAAGCTGTGGTATGAGGAATCGATTATTAAAGTGTTCGTTGCGAACACCCGGTTTATCGATCCTTTTCAATAGATTTAAGTGGTAGATCAATCGATACATCGCAAAGCACGCCACGCCACCAGCGTCGAAACCCATTTTTTGAGTGTGTCTGAAACACGCGTCGTATGATGAAAGAGTTTCACAAAATAAATTGTGAAGACAAATGAAAGACAGATGAAAAAGAGGCTTCATCAGAATGGACCGAGGAGGTTTTAAAGAGTACGGAAATGGTAACGCAAAGGGAATAAGCGTTCCGGCGTTACCACGACGTCACGTCGGAGAAAGGGTAGGTGCGAGTAATTCGCGCCTCAGCTCACTTTCTCTTCTGCATGACGTGACAGTGAAGAAATGTAAAACTGACAAGTCATTTGATACCGCGCTACGGACTCAACTCGGAGACCTTCGTCTTGCATTTCTCGACGAGAGCCCGGATCCCTTCTTCGCTGGCACCTTGACTCAATTATCGTCGCCTTTTTGACGTAAAGACGTAACTCAATTTCCACATGAGCCTTGACAAGCATGGATTTATATGGAGAACAAGGCTCACATGGAAATCGAGTGACGCCGTTACGTCCGAGGAGTGAGGTTATACTCTCGTGGTGTTCTATATTACATAGTTCTATTTGTCAGAATTTGAATAGGATGCGTGTGGGAAAAGGCCAAGACTATAAGAATGAAAAATAACTCGTGGCACTTTATTTTGAACCGAACGCAGCCGGAGAGTGGGGCGTAAATATGAGGTACAGGATGGCCAAAGGAATTTAGCATGGGAATTCTCTGTCGTACCAACGTTTTTTCTGACCATTTTCACGAAATTTCCTGACTTTTAAAACGCAACATGGTACAACAAATGAACTGCATTTTGCAATTATGAACTTTAATTCCTGGCTTAGTTGCTTATCCGTCAAAACACTTATATGCATATGGAAACCACTGGTATTGACGTTATTTCTAAACTGAGTCAGAATTTGTAGTTCCTAACTGCAAAATGTAGAATATAATAATAGGAGTTTTCGATCCTACTCAGAGACACGCTAAAGCCATGTGATAGGACAGGTTTAAAAAATACTTTCGTAATTTTCGTTGAAAAAGTTGTACCCAGTCTTTCGGTTTAATCTTCTCAATTTCCCTGACTTTCTTTACGGTTTTCCTTTATGTTTGTTTTTTTCGGGTTACTTCTTGGATTAAAAACAGCTATATTGATGTCGAAGTCATGACCTAAGGTGGGACCGATTCTTATCTTACTCTTAGCATACCTAGCGAGCATGTATTGTATTTGACTTAAACTTTCCTCATGGTACAAATTCAGTACAGCTTGCTTTGTTCATGGTTTTTTCACGTTATACATGCTGACCTTAAAGGATTGAACATAATTGCTCCTGTCAGGAGAAGTACACCTTCAGAGGAATCCTCAGAAAGCTTCAGCAGCTTTCAAGCGCCTTCAATACAGTGAGATACACTACGCTTTGCCCCAGAGTTAGTTTAGATGCCTATCCGAATCGAACCTAACTTGAGGCTGACAGAGCCTAGAGGTCAATTTTGAGTGGGTTACATAGCAACGCACTGAGTAGCGTCAACCTTGAAGCGAGGAGAAGAGTTTTGAAGGTGTATTCCTTGGTAATACTCGATATTAAGGGAACAATTTAACGACCAAGTTCACGTTCTAAATATTTTCTCTTCATTTTTAAAAAATAATAGATTGAAGCCAAACCACGTCTAGAAATGTTAATTCACTGCTTAATACATTACAATGCATCTCAGAGCCATATTCTC